CACCCAGGCTGGAGTGTGCAGTGGCATGCTCATGGCCACCGCAGCCTCGACCTGCTGGGCTCACGTGTTCCTTCTACCTCGGCCTTCCAAGTATCTGGAACCACAGGTGTATGCTGACATGCTCAGTTAATTTTTTTGATTTATTATAGAGACAAGGTCTCAGCAAGTTGCCCAGGCTGGTCTCGAACTCTTGGGCTCAGGCAATCCTCTCACCTTTCAAAGTGCTGGGATTACAGCTGTGAGCCACCACACCTGGCTTTGGTATTTTTTTTTTCTTACTTTGACATGGGGTCTCACTATGTTGCCAAAGCTAAAGTAGAGTGGCTATTCACAGGTGTGATCTTCACAAACGATAGCCTACAACTCCTGGACTCAAAGGATCCTCCTGCCTCACCCTCCCTTGTAGCTGGGCCAACAGGTGCGCACAACACTGCACTGCCTACGTAATAAAAATGTTTTTAAAAAATTAAGTATGTTCCAATAATAGTGAAAGTGAGCCCGTCAGAATTAATAATCATTCTATATAACTTTGGCCTGTGTAAAGAATTACTAAATAATTCCAACCTCAAACATCCCAAGTCCATGTTCCCATCTTAAGTTGTACATATAACTTATGTGTCTTATATCAACATTTTCACATTCTTAATATTAACTCTAATCAGTTGAAGACAGGCTTTATTCAAACTGAAATTTTAGCCACTCTGAAATTTTTCTGATTTTCTCTTTAAAGAATATTCACAGGAGAAAAAAAAATCCTAAGACAAGGTTTAAGTTAAAAATTCAAATCTAAACAAACAAACAAAAAGCTACTTCTTTCAAATACTGGCCATATTATCATGTGTTTTCCTATTAGAATACAAGGTTCCCGGCACACTTGGAAGTTCCAAGGTCTAAACAGTGTCTGCAGAGTAGCAGGAACTCAACAGTTACTTAAAGAAGGAAAGAAAGCTTAAAGCCACCACACAACAATTAAGTATTTCTTTGGCTGAATATCTGTATGAATATCTGTATGTTGAAACGGACAC